AATAACTTATTGTGTTTTGCTGGTTCAGATTTCCGTCCTAGTATACCAATACATACTTCTATATTTCATTTCAAATTCTTTCCTTTCTGTTCTAGACATGAATTTTCCATCTCAACTTAACATCCAAATTCATACCTAGGTACCTGGCTGAGTTTGCATGAGAAATCATTATGTTGTTGGTAGTCAGACGGATTTTATCAATTTTCTTGTCCATGAAGATTATATGTATTGATTTGGACTCATTAAGTTTTATACGCCAACTATTCGTTCATTTATTAATTTTATTTAGTGATTGTTGAACTTCGCGCGTTCATGGATATCAGTTTTACTTGAAATGATGGCTGTGCTATCAGCAAAAGTAGCAATGACCGTATCTTTGGATGGAGGCATGTCACATGTGTATATCAAATACAACAAGGGATCCAACACATTCTTTTGCGGTATTCTTATTTTTATTTTTTTGTTCCGAATAGTCATCATATTTAATTCTAAATAGTCTATTACTGATGTAATGTGACTTTAATATTTGGCTAAATTGAATTGGAAGCAACTGGACTAGCTTATATTTAAATTATACTTTTGTGTCATACCTTATGAAAAGTTAGCGCTAGAAGAATTACTACGTAGTTTTTACTACTTTTAAATTTGAATTATATTGGAATGAGTCACCAGGGAACGTTGGTATTTTCCTTTTTTTGGTTTCTTTCTTATCCTTTGTTATCTATTCAATCTCTCTGATGAATTCTTCTTCATATGTATAGTATTATTGTTGATTTGAGTTACATAATTAGCACATTGCTTATTAAAACTTAACGTGTTTACTTCCAAGATTTATTTGAGCAACTCTCTCTAGACTACTTTGTATTTTCCTTTGTTTTTTTATTTGTATAAATCAGATTTAGTTTATTTATGTAGACATAGAAAGAAATTCATTGCTGTCACGTGTATATCTCTAAAAACACTGGTCGTCCCGTCTCATGAGAATTTGATTTATCGCTGTCACACATGTGTGATGCTGGTAGCGAAAATATTAAGAATAAATATTAAATGCTAATGCTTAAGAATAAATATTAATTGCTAATGAGGGACACGGAGAGAATCACATTATGAATAATTCTGATTACTTATTTTGTATAAATGTTTATAGCGCAGAACTCTTGAGAGCTTTTGGGGAGCCTCTAAAATGGCAAGTCATTTTAGAGGTTTTTAGCGGATTCTTTTTTAAACCTTACCTTGGAAAAAAAACAGTAGTAATCATTTATAACATTCTAATGTAGAGTAATAGCCTGTACATAACGTGATGTTTCGAGATTATTCGTTAATCCTCCAAGTCTGATTGGGATGTACGAGATTAATTTCGATTCTGAGCGATAACTTTTTCCAATTTGGAGTGAAAACTTAATCGGAGGAATTCCCACTTGGTAGCGAACACATCTCTTTGCGATTGCGATGTTTTTAATCGCCGCTTTATTCGAAGCGTATCCTATCGATGTAATTTCCTAGGTCATTTTCTTGCTCTTTCGTTTCAATTTAGAATGAGCAGCAATTTTGGAGAATGAACAATTTATAAGGGTTCCAAATTGAACAAGGAAGTAGGCTCTGTACTTGACTCACAGCCTCATCCGAGATGACTGTTCCCCGTCACGTCAGCGATATAAGGAGCTTAAGGGAGCTCTCACGGATTACCTTTGACCCGGCGAAACTTTATCGTCGCCCTACCGAGCGTAAATATTTCCGGAAGCGAGAGGAATCGGCGTCCCGATCGAATATTTTCCCCGTGTTCACCAGCCGCTCGTAAGAAATGGGATTGCGGGCTCACTCGGGCCGAAAACTAAATATCGTTAATCCTATTGCACGTGAAGGGTAAAAGCATAACTTACGATGCGAGCACTCGGCGTTACGCGAGCCGATATTGTGCGGTTCGTAAACAGTGCGCCGGTGAGCAAAATAATCACGCGCGTATTAAAACACCTCCTGAAACGAAGCGTGTAATGGCAGAATTAACTTTTAATTTTTCAAGAGTCCTCCGCGACACGCGCGCGCGCGTGTGCATCNCATCGATTCATTTATCTCCCCCCCCCCCTCCCCCGGCCGTTTTACTTTTCTCGAAGCATGGTAATTCGCGGAATAAATTCATCTCACAGCTGCTATTAATATTCCAGTAATTAGCGCAGCCTTCCATATTCAGGGGTTTACGTTGCGGAAAAATTAGGAAGGAGGAAGCTTAATTGTCGGAGAGGAAGAGAGATGAGGAGAGAGAAAGAGAGAGACTGGAAGAAGCCGCGGTATCTTGCAATTCTGTGCGCGTAGCAACGCTGAATTTATCTAGGCAAGCGCGATACCATGGTATCGATCGGTCGTCCGCCGGCCGGCTTCGCCGCTGGACATCACGAGCTAATCGGCCGTGTTGTGCACGATAAATTCCGGCCGTGTGTAAGATTATGCGAATCGTTGATACATCCCTAGTCAAGATTTTGATGCTACTTTGATACTCTCAAGGATAACAATTTGCGCCCTACTTGGATGGCCTGTAAGACTAATAATAAGAACCTACTTTGACGCGTAACTTCTCTTTTGAACCTTTAATTCTACACTAACAGAAAAGAAATCTATATATATATATATATATATAGTTGGAGTAATTATAATTCTATTATATTCTATAGTCAATTTTGGCCTCTACTATTTGTTTATAACTTTTTTAAGCGTGCAAATATAAGAAGATACATTTGGATTTATAGTTATGACAACTGTGACATACATTCGTATGATTTTATTTTATTCTATATCATAAACTAAAATGACAATAAAACGTACCATAAAATATGGTTACATGAAAAAACCAAACGTATTCATATTTCTGTGAATAGAAATTTATTATTTCCTTTTAATTGTGTTATTTTTAAGGCGTTAGCTAATTCACTTTGTCTGGAATCTTATTTCATTTGTCATCATTTTGTCTGAAATCTTATTCATTAGCTGCTTAATATTACTACTACTTAATATTATATCGTATTTGAGAAACACGCTTCTCCGGTGGAATTTGAATCCGTGACTTCTAAGTCATGATTTGCTTGTCTCACGCACTATGCCAATTCTTCAATTGATAGATGCCTTGTGTGTCGTCCGTGTATGTATTATCCATATATAAGTATAACCAGCATAATTTTTCAAGAATAAAATTTAACGTTGCAAAAAATAAACAAAATATTAAATTAATGTATATCAGGGAATAAGTATGCAAGAAGCAGCAGGACGAAATTATATTTGTGACTGATAATTCCTCTAAGTTTCCGATTTTCTCCCGGAAGTGGGTTTCTTTGAGATCTTCAAAATCGCCGTTTACGGCTTCTTCATTCAGCCTCTTCATTCGGCCTAAAACTCTTCCCAGCTAGGAAAATGTTGAGTTTCGAGAAGCTGAAAATCCGAGGTAGTTAAATTAGGCGAATACGGTGTATGCGAAAGAACGTTAAACTTCATTTCGACCAATTTTTTCTGAGCGGCAACGCTTGAATGCGTCAGTGCGTCGTCATGGCGAAACAACACCTTTTTTGACCATTCCGGGATGTTTTTCCGCGATCGCTGTCTTTAATTTCTCCAAAAGCGCTCCATAGCATTTGTAACGGTTTTCCTTTCTCAAGGTAGTCGATCAAGAGAATTCCTTTCTCCCTGATGAAAAACTGATCATCAAAACACCATCAACTTTCCAACCGATAGTACAGTCTTCGCCTTTTTCGAAGCCATTTCACCTCGTTCAGTCCATTGTTTGGATTGCGTTTTTGATATAGGTATGAAATGGTGTAATCCAAGTTTCATCTATGGTCACGAAACGCCGCATGGAATCTGTTGGGTTTTTCTCCAATAAATACCTCCAAACAATCGGTTGATGTTCGTACACACTTTTGTTCTGCAATAAGCGAACGCGGCATCTATCTTGCGGTAAGATTGTTCACATTCAATTCATCATGCAAAGTGAAATAAATTCGCTCAGTTGAGATGCCTGTAGTCTTTGCTGTCTCGCGCACTTTCACTCGCCTGTCGGACGAAATCATATTATAGACTTTATCGAGCTTCTGACGTGACAGCTGTTCTCGGATCTCCAAAACATGGTGCATTTTCGATGTTCGTTCTGCCACGTTTGAATTCGTTTGTCCAAAGTCGAGCAGTTTCATAGGAAGAGCACGAGTTACCCAATGTGGGAGAAGTCCTTTCATGGATTTTCTTCGCTGTTTTTCCTTTCGAAAAAGAAAAGAATTGTACCACACCTCGAATTCCACACTATCACGCGAGTCTTTCTGTTAAACGCGGCCGTCTTTTGTACAGTGCACCACGATCAATTAATAGACAATTTTTATATATCACAATACAAATTCATTCGCCTTCCTTCCTTCAGCGCTTCCGTGTAACATGGCTTCGCGCGCAGGTCTGTGCAATCCCGGCATTTATGCGTTTCGATCCTGTCCTGATCGAACCCAGCTACTTTGAATAACTTATTTCGACGCTAAAATAGCGAGAACGGAAGTTTAACACATTATCGGGATCAAAGTAAGAGTAAATTGTATTATTAGAATTGAATGAACTTATTTCGCTAGTTTAGCCTCTGTATTATAGAATTAAAGGTTTGACATAGGGGCAAAATTTCGATTTGTAATTTCTTAGGTCGTTTCCTTCTCCTTCGTATTACTGTCAGTGATGCGATGCATTCTGAAACATCTAAGGGTGACTTTCATTAAACTCTGATTAATCTGATCGATGATTTAAAATTGCCGTCATTCAAGTATTACCTGCATTATCGTGCTGGCATAGATAGAAATTATGAACTTTTGGATTATTGTCGAGTGACAAATTACGGAACTTTAAACTGACGTTGGCGATTCTTATTGTCATTCATCGATTAATTTAATCTGAGTTGAAATGAAAGTTGTCGTCTATAGGGGTTACACGCTCATTTGGCGAGCCACGAAGTGCGTACAACTCAACGCTCACGTTTTGTGTTTCAGTACGGCAAACAGCTCCGCGAGAATTACCGAGCCTTCAAGAACAAACAATGTGAGCAAAACAGCAGCGGTAGCCCAAAAGAACAGTACAGCAGCTACAATGTGTCCAACGTAAGTGTGATTACAAATATATATGATTATGAGAGCCGGTAGAATCGAGTCGTGTGAAGAACGAAGTGAGTCTCGCGCGGAAAGTCGGGGAAAACATCTCGGGAACTCAAGAGCGGGTAATCCGCAGCGAACGATCGCGTTCATCATCGACTGTCGGCACAGATCGCGTGGCCAAAAGCTGTTGTGAGATGCGTGCAATAGAAGACTCGATTCGTCATGAACACGAGACTCGGCTCGCTGCTCAATTCATTAATCATTTTCGTAAAGACTGTAAGACCGTAAAGACTGAAAACTTCAGCTTTTTTTGAAATTTCTATTTCAATTTGCAATTTTAATTAGTCACCTAGCCTCTTTCCTTAAGACGCATAGGATTATTCAAACATTTTTAATCACATTTTATTATGAAACATCTAAATATTTTAAATTGCAAGAAAAATAGTATCACTGAGAACGATCCGAGTCGAAATTTTAATGCTACTTTGACGCTCTTAAGGATAATAGTTCGCGTCTATTTAGATGGCTTATATACCGATAAACTGATGGACTGATAAAAATCGACTTTGATGATATTATTGGGAGTACAAATTAGTTCGGTCCGTTTTGGTTAAAAATGCATTTATTTCAGAACAAAATTAATGAACAGATTAATCAAAGTATTGTCCATCGCTGGCTACTACTTTTTCCCACCTCTCAGGCAATTTTCGATTTCTGCGAAAGAAGTGAACCGGTGACCTGCCAAATCGTGTTGCATCCGTCGGAACAACCAGTAATCAGAAAGAGCAATGTCCGGCGAATACGGCGGGTGCGGTAAAATATCCCACTTGAGCGTTTCCATATAATTTTTTACGACTTTTGCGACATGAGGCCGAGCGTTATCATGCAGAAGAATAACTTTGTCATGTCTTTGCTCGTATTCCGGCCGTTTTTCTTGTAATGCACGGCTCAAACAAATCAATTGTAGCCTATACCGATGGCCCGTAATGGAATCGCCAGGTTGTAGCAGCTCATAGTATACAATACCCTCCAATTCTTTGTCTTCGAATTTTTTTTGGCTGTCCAGAGCGAGGCTTGTCTTCAACGCTGAAAACACCATTCTTGAAACGTCGAAACCATTCCCTACATGATTTATCAGTTGGAGCATTGTCATCATAAACTTCTACAAGCATTCGATGCGCTTCAGCTGCACTTTTCTTCCAATAAATTAAAGCAGAAAACTAAAACCTCCCGCAAATGCTGCTTAGTTAACACAAAATTTGACATATTCAACACATATTCAAAAAACAGGCGTTTTGTATGAAACTCAAAGCAATATAAACTGAATATTATTGACAGATGTCTAACCTCTCTGAAACTACCGAAATCAGCTGTCACTATGAAACATTCATAACAGCCAGAGCCATCTTTTGAAAACGGACCGAACTAATTTGTACTCCCAATACATTTGCTAATTTTCCTCTTAAACTACTAATTCTACAGAATTAATTTTAATGCTGTTCTGAATTTTAATGCTGTTCTATCTTGCTCTTAATATTGCGATTATTAAATTCATATTAATATTAAAAATAACCTGTTTTGATGCTAAAATCACCGGAAACACAAATTTCAGACATCATCGTGATCAAAATAGAAATAAATTATATTATCAGAATCGAATTATACTATTGGAACCTATTTTACATTGAAAAGAAAGGTGCTACTATTCAAGTAATATTTACTTGATTCAAGTAAAATGGTTACTTTAGTATTCTTTGGCAAATATTTATTAGAAATAGAAATATAATTGACTATATACAATATGATATTTCATTTTTATAAGTAGACATTTATTTATATGTACTGAAACATTTGCTAGAGGATGGAGGAAAATCTAAATTTTAAATCACAAGACATTTCAGTGGAAAAAAGTGTTAAGGAGCGTGTATAATAGCCGTAAAATATATAGTAAATCGTAAGTGATAAGCCAATTGAATTCTTACAGTCCAAGAATAATAATATATATATAATCATATATATACAATCCGCGACATATAATCATATATATACAATCCGCGACAGTCGCGCGGATTATGGTCCACGGGCAAAGACGAGACGCGGAAAAAGAAAGAGGAGAAGAAGCTCGCGTGTGTTTCGTGATATGCACCAGATCGCGACGTCGTGTTACGATACACAGGTGGACGGGATCCACGTCGTCGTTCGCCGGCGAATTATTTCGCCATGGCGCGCGCGCTATATTTTCGTCGGCGGTCGCTCTCTCGCCTCGGATACGCTCGAAAGGTAAATTTGGCTTTAGACGCGGTAAATGGAATGGAAGAGGCGATTACGCTGAAATTACCTCGAGTGACAGTAATTTGCCAGGTCACGCTACGTTCGATCATTGCCTTCAGATGTCCCTTTCCCTACTGCCTGTGCGCGTCTCACCGAACTTTCATAGCGGCCTTCTACGCCGGGGCCTCGTTTAACTCTCGCCGTATCTTTCGAGTCGAAATTTTTGCTCTATTATATTGAACCTTTAATTCTACAACACAGTAGGAGATAAGATAGTAGAAAATAGGTTCGATTATAATGACATAATTTACTGCCACTTTTTGACCATGACGACGTCTTAAATTTCCCTTTTCGTTGTTTCTAGCATAAAAATAAGTTGTTTTGAATGCTCTAATGAATTTGATATTTAAAATATTGAGAGCATTTATAGCTTGAAGATAACATTAAAATGAAATATATAAAATTATGGTTATGTGATCGCGATTGTAAATTATATGTAAAATATTCCGAAAACTTTTCTTTTACTCTAACAATCAATAAATAATCGTAACGTTAATGTTAATTTTAAGGTTATTTATTTATTATTAGAACGAAAGAGGAAAGTTTTCGGAATATTTGGAACAAATGTGCTCAATCGATCGCAAGTGTTACTTTATGATTATATCATTTTAATTCAACGTATTTCGCAAAAATTTTGGGCGTGTGTTTCGTTACTTTTGATATCATCAAACAAGTCAACTATAGTAAAGGACCATGAGAGCCTTAACAAATGTACACACAAAAAAATATCATTCTTCTGCTAACAAGTAATTGCTCATTTTACTTCCCTTCTTTTAAATAATAGTTATTCAACAAAGAATATTTTCTCGACAATCTTAAAACATATTCATCACAAATTTGAGAAAAGTTCATGTACTCAAAATAAATAATATAAAAAAAACTTTATATATTATAAAGTTAAATTTGGTTAATTTAAATAAACAGCTCGATTTTCGTTTCAATTTAATATTTTCGGTTGAAATACTAAACTTATTAGGATTCCAAATATATTTTGAATAAATTTGATGCTTTTATGATGAACTTGTAATATATATTTGTGAATGTATAAACCTATTTGAGACAAGCAACATTTACTTGTGTGCAGTACATATTTTACTAAATGTAGTATCCTCAAAGTAAGTTTTTATTAAGCTATCTGAATAGGTGCAAACTCTTTAAGAGCATCAAAATTTCGACTGGGATCTGCTTCTTCGATTAACATCCTTATTTATATTTATCTTCGCAATGTTCTCTCTCGTATTCGCGCGACTCTCCGCGAGTCTATTTCCTTCTCGATCTATACGTTCATTATTATTTACGTATTGTTGCGCTCGCTCTCCATGAGCAAGCCGTATCATTATTCTTCGGCTGAGCGTTCGTTCTTTCTCTAATAGACGTGCTCAGATATAAGGAAATTCATTGCGAATGAATGAATGAATGAACGAACGAAGGGAAAGAAAGAGGAGGTGGAGAGAAACACACGAATGCGCATCGACGACGGCGCGTCGAATGCCGATAACGTTAGTGGCCGAATAATTATAGCAAATAGCTCGTTAACTATTGATCGTTGATGCGAAATCCAATGCAGAAATGGCCGCCACCGTCGCTCCCGGTCGAGATATATATTCGCTCTCGTCGTCCGCGTAAAGATGCGTACATATCTAAATCCATATTCTGAACTCATTTTTATCGATAAAAATGCCTCTAAATGTATCATAGGAATCACCCGATTGGCCGAGAAGCCACATTTAAGGTACTTTTATCGATAAAGGTGAGTTAAAAATATGGACTCTAGCGAACAAACGTCGAAGGCGAATGTTCGTAGCGTTCGTTAATTATTTCTTTCTCTTCAGCTATGATTTATTTGTATTTTTAGATCCAAAATAATGTACCAATCAGATCCGAGGGCTCACTGAGCATGGGAGATGAGAGCATCCCCCACCCCAAATATCACCGCCACATGCGTACATCCATGTAAAGCGGGGTCTTCAATGAGAATTTAAGCTTTAAGCCTTAAGAGATTGACCAATCACAGTCGATTATTCTCCTCATATTCGATTGGTGAATTTCTTAAAGCTTAGATCTTAAAAGCATCTATGTAGACCGGCGCTTACTAAATGAAGGCTAGCGCTCAGTGCCCTCTTGAATCTGATTGGTACATACTTTGGAATTTAAAAGTATGAACAAATCACAGGCAGAAATTAGCCGAATGTTCGCGAACTTCCTTCGTTCCATCGCTTCGGTCCGAACGTAAACCAAACGTTTCGTTCGGATTCGTTAAAGTGCGCACATTTCGAATCATAACGGCGGACGTTCGCATTTGTCCATCCATCTTTACATGAACGTTTGTGTTGCTCGTGATGTTCGTCCTCACGAGCGTTTACCTCGAGCGCATAAGTGCGATGGTCCCTTCCCCTTCTTCCTCTCGTTCTCTCCCGCGGCACGAGAGCGCGTGCAATACGTCCTGTTTATACAATGGTTAAGCCGCGAATTATGTTGCCGCGCGACTAACAGGTGTCGTATGTACACCCGTCCGGTTTTATCACGGCGGGCAGCGTCGGACGCGCGCGATAATAAATTCCGCACGATCGATTCGTCTCTCGGACGCGGTTCGTTGCCGTCGCGTTTCCCGCTCCCGGCTCTCGTATCGAAGGTAAGGAGAAAGGGAGGAGAAAGGGAGAGGAGATCGCACGAGC